ATGCCACACAGTCATCCGAAAGTAGTTAAGTAATCTGTTTTTTTTAGACCATGAAGATTATTTTTTTACTTTTTTTCTTTTAAGTTCGTATCCCGTTAACTCCCGTTGCTTCTGTTATTATGATTGCCTTTGTTTGGATATATTTTGTGGGTTCATTCCCCATCTAGTTATTTTTGTTATTGTTTTTGTTTATGTTGTAAATACTTGATCACGACCTCGGTTTGAAAGAATTGTGTGTATGGTTATTAGAGGGAACAATTTCGTTTGATTTGCTGTTACCGTAAGGTTAATAACGGATAGGAATTATTGTTCTTTTGGCTTTTTGTCTATCTCTATTTCTCTTCGTTTGTCAGTGTATTCTTTTACCAACACCTCTTTTTTCTCTCTCTTTCTCTCTCTTCCTCTCTCTCTCTCTCTCTCTCTCTCTCTCTCTCTCTCTCTCTCTCTCTCTCTCTCTCTCTCTCTCTCTCTCTCTCTCTCTCTCTCTCTCTCTCTCTCTCTCTCTCTCTCTCTCTCTCTCTCTCTCTCTCTCTCTCTCTCTCTCTCTCTCTCTCTCTCTCTCTCTCTCTCTCTCTCTCTCTCTCTCTCTTCTCTCTCTTCTCTCTCTCTCAACTCTAACTCTATTCTATGTATCGGACCGTAATTAACTCGGAAATAATAAACATGTGACAAATAATGTGAACCTTATATTAGTTGAGGGGTTTAATGACTATATACGGTGACCTTTATAGATTATTACTGCGATCACCTTAATCATGCTGAGACACGCTGGGTACTGCTGCAACTGCATAGATGTACTCGGTATAACATGGTTCATACTATACACACATTCCTTTGATATTGCAGTGTTTTTCTATATAAAAACAAGAAAAAAAAAGACGAAAAGGGGAGAGAAATCACGCATACCTGACACTTGGCGCGTTTCTCTCCGTGTCTGTCTGTTTGTTGTTTCAAAGTCGAACCTGGGGTTGACTGGATATAATTTATGAGCACTTACTTTTTTTTTAAGTGTAGATAAAGATCAGCTGACCTCTGAAGCAAGGAGCAAGAGTAACCATTTACCACGAAAAAGACATTACCACTTAATGATCAGTATTATTTCCAATAAACTTATAATCATTACAGACCATCATAATTGAACATTTACCACGAAATTGATTCCACTTATTAGACATTAAATATCAGTTCCAGTTAAGTTCTGATTAAACCGTCATACCTGAGAATGTATAGCTGCCCAACATGGAGTCTCAACGAAGGATCAGCTCTGTTGATTTTTCGAAAGACTCGCACCTACGCCGTAAGTGTTCCAAGGGCGTACTTACGGGCGGCAACGGGCGAGGGCGTGAGGGGTCTTTGTTTATTTGTTGGCTCCCTCTTTCGAAATGACTCTTTGGGCGTACTGGCCGCCCGCGGATTGCCAAAGCAGGGCGCGCGCATTGTTGACTTGCCTGAAACTTAACCTGTTTACCGACGGCGGAATTCTCTGAGGGAGAGGCGGAGGTGCGAGGGCTTAGGCTTTCATAGCTCTCTCCGTCGGTCAGCCAGTCTGTCTGTCTGTGTACCCACACCCTCTCCCTCTCTGTTTCACTCTTTCGCTCTCTCCCTCTCTCGTTCTCTCTTTTCTCTCTCTCTCTCTCTCTCTCTCTCTCTATTTCTCTAACTCCTCTCTTTACTCTCTCTCTCTTTCTCTCTCTCTTCTCTCCTCCTCTTCCGCTTCTTTCTCTTTTCCCTTAAATTAATACATTTATTTTTTGTACAATCTAATAACCTTAATTTCTCTCAACCGGAAAAGGAGAGGCTGAATAAATGACTCATATATTTGTGAAATATATAGCGGCAATTTTATAGTAAAACGAAAAACTGACTTTGCTTTGTTTCTGCCCCCTATTATCATCATCATTATTTCGTCTGAGTATAATTCCTTTGCTTCATTCACGTTGTTAGTAATTATTCAGTTTAGGAGGATAATTGCCTAAGTGCACGGACAAAGAGCATACTTAGAAATACAGTCAGGGAGATTTAATTAGCAAGCGACACTCGACGTGATGGAGTCAATTAGCTAAGGTGTTTCATTATCTGGCAAATTATCTAGTCATCCCGTAAAATCCATTAATTCTCAAAACTATTATTCATCATGTGGTGATCCCTTATTTTCTCTTGCTGTCCAGTCACCTCGGAAGTTATATATTTCGTATTGTTTTCATTTTAGGGGTATTTTATGCATTATGAACACGCACACACACAAACACACACAGATATCACAGACACCACAAACACACACAGATAGACAGACACACAAGCACACACAGATAAACAGACAGACAAGAAAACAGACAGACGCTCACACAAACACACACAGATAAACAGACACACACACACACTCACACACAAACACACAGATTTAAACAGACACACACACTCACACACAAACACAATGCACGCGGGTATGACACAGCAGTCAATATTTTCAGCCCAAGCAAGGCCTTTTAATTCATCTTTAGTAAAAAAAGAAAAAAAAAAAAAGTGTAAGATCGTGACACAAACATCCTTCATCCTTCAACGCAGCACAAGCCGCATATTATTGACGTTGTTCTTCAGTGTAAAAGTTCCAGACTCAAAGGCCGCCGCCGACGAGGGAGATTCCGACTAGACTGGATTTTCTTGCCACGGGTTCCAGGTGTATGTTGGGGCACCGGATTGAACCCGGGTGCCCATGGCGATACCCCTGCCATCGCTTTTATTATTGATTTTTATATTCCTATCGTATGTTTTAGACACACGGTCAGCTACTCACTCATTCACACTACACTTGCTCACTCTTTCATTCACACTGACTGACTGACCTGACTGACTGAGTGACTGACTGAGTGACTGATTGACTCACACACACACACACCACACACACACACACACACACACACCACACACACGCACACACACACCACAACACACCCACCCACACACACCACACACACACACACACATACACACACACTCACTCACTCACACATCACACACCCACCACACCCACCCACCCACCCACCACACACACACACACACACACACACACACACACACACACACACACACACACACACACACACACACATACACAACACAGCACACACATCACACACACACACAACACACACACACACACACACACAACAACCACACACACACACACACAACACACACACCACACACACACACACACACACACAACACACACACACACACACACACACCACACACACACACACACATATCTACCAGTCTCTTCATTTATCCACATGTATACATACGCTCGAGATTTAGCCTGTTTTGCTTCGGATCTCCAAAGTAAACCGAAAGTAGGGTCAGGTTAGCGAGCTCTCAAGGGGCGAGCTGAAGGTGCCATAATGAGCAAGGGCAAGATGGCGTCGGCGCCCCAGTGCAACTTTGCAACTTTCCCCTCTTGTCTTGCCCTGTCCTCAAGGAAAACGGGCGCGAGGAGGAGGATAGGAGGAGGGGGGAGGGACTGGAAAGCGACCGTTTTTGCTGGCTTACACAATCGATATATGTCATTTGAGTGGAGGTTTGGGGATGTTCTGTAGATGCACTATATCTCATCAATATCGTCGTCGTTTTCATCACCACCGTCGTAATCATCCTCATAATCATTATCATTATCATCATCTTTAACATTATCATCATCATCATAATTATTACGAGAGAGAGTGAGAGTGAGTGAGTGAGTGAGTGAGTGAGTGAAGTGAGTGAGTGAGTGAGTGAGAGTGAGAGTGAGTGAGTGAGTGAGTGAGAGGAGAGAGGAGAGAGAGAGAGAGAGAGAGAGAGAGAGAGAGAGAGAGAGAGAGAGAGAGAGAGAGAGAGCGCACAAGAGAGAGAGCGTTGCAGGTAACGCAATTTCACAATGCTCTATTGTATTTCAGTTCAGAGCCTCAATAGGCAAAGATGAAACATTAAGAGTCTGAGAAGATAAATCAACCAATAAAGAAAAAGTTGAAAAAATAAGAATAATGTTTTTTTGTCCGCGGGATGACTTAACGTTGTCAATTATTTTAGCTTTATTTAAGTGTTAAGAAAATAAACAAAATAAGTCCAGCTGGCTTGGTTCAATTACTGTGGGTTAGCCAAGCTCGAGTTCTGGTTTGGACATTTCTTGGTAGACTAGACTGGGTACTCATGTAATCGAATTGTTAATTACCTTGTATAATAAAGATGAAAATAATGGTACTTTAAATCAGTATGTTTTTATATTCATAAATGACGTATTTAGTTTTAAGCAAAGTTGAATTGATACTTAAATGTATTAATACTACTATTATTATTGATATAATTGCTGTCATTATCTACATGAACATTGTTATTATTATTTCTGTTATTATTATCCATATTATTATTAGTATTGTTATTTCCATTATTATTACTATTATTATTATTATTATTAATTATATATAATTATTTAATGATTAGTATTATATTTTTTGTTATGTGCTGTTGTTTTGTTGTTATCTTTATCATTCATTGACTGTAGTAGTAGACACACAGACACGCAAATGCACACACTTGACACAGCAAGTAGAGACCTTGACCCTCTGGCTCGAAGCTGAACTCGGGGTCAAGCGGTGTTTACTCTTCAAGCCTAATGTTCTTTTCCTCTCCCCTTGGCCCTCGCAGGTCAGAACCGCAGCGAGAGCATGAGCAGCGGGAGCAGCGGCACAAACAGCTACAGCAACAGCTACAGTAACAGCTCCAGCGGGGATGGGATGGTGCTGGGGCGGGGGGGAGGGGACACCCTCGACCCCCGCCACCCCAGTCAGCAGCAGCAGATCCAGGATGAGGAGTATGAGGACTTTCAAGAGAATAACAAGGTAATTGCAGGGAGCCTTCGTGTAAACTGGGAATCACGGTAAAAAGGAAACATTAGGTGAATTCAAAAAGAAATGAAGGTTTGCGCGCCCAAAGGTGCTTATATTACAGATGAGAGTTTAATCTAACAAACATTTCATAAACACGTTTTCAAGCAATCAGCCTACGAACGCCTTTAGACGAGCATTCCTTCTAAAGAGAAAAAAATATGGCTGCACTGCCATAAAACATTTTTTATATAAATAATTATTCTGATTAGGAATAACATCCTTAAATACAAGATTTTAAACATCACTGTATGACTTTCTGTTTATGTAGAGTCAGTGCGAGGAAACGAACGTATATCCTATAAATAGCATATTTGATCTACATTTTGTCTATATCCAATTCAACTATTGTTCCCTTGATTGAGCTTCTATTAATTAGCATAGATTTTACAGGTACGATAATGTAGGTAAGAAGGCATTTTATGTACTTTGAATAATAATGATGTTCGCTTTGTCAACAAACGGTGGCAACGTTGACAGGGACCTACAAGAAAGCATATAAAGCGATCATGTATCTAAATCCGCAAGGGTATAACGGCTTCCAAGATTGTATCACTGCCCTGACCTCGTTCATGCTGTTTTTTGTATGATCTTAAGTTTGGACGAAAACATCAACAAAAAAAAAGATGGAATGATGGTGTCTTCTTAATGGATCTCTCTCTCTTTTTTTGGCTGCTGTCAAATATTGACGGAACTAGAATTTTGCATCTGCAGTTTATCAAAGAAGACATTCCACTGCTGTTCCAAGACGTGGGACGTTTTAAGTACATGAATTCCATCTTCTGTTTCTAAGACAACAACACATTCTTGCAAGATAAGAGGAGGAGGGGAGGAGAGGGAGAGGGAGGAGAGGGAGGGGGAGGGAGGGTGAGGGAGGGGAGGGGAGGAGAGGGGAGGGGAGGGAGGGGAGGAGAGAGGGGGGAGGGAAGAGAAGGGGAGGGAGGAGAGGCGAAGGGGAAAGGGGAGGGAGGGAAGAGAGGGAAGGAGGGAAAGGAGAGGAGAGGGAAATGAGGGGGGGGAGGGGGGGGAGCGGAGGGGTGGGAAGGGAAGGAGAAGAGAAGACGGCCATATCAGGATAACAAGAGCAACACAACTGTCTGCAGTGAACATGTGCGTTGTATGAGATACAATGTTGAGTGTTTATAAAGAAACAGAATAAAGAGAATATGACACAGATGAAGAGCAAAAGCAAAAAAAGAAGAGAAACATGACAAGGATAAGGGAAAATATTCCACAATATTTGTGTCATCTTATTAAAGGTACCCAATACCTCACGCCGCATCCAAGTAAGACGCAGAAACATTTTAGTCAAAATATTTAGAAAGGAAGAAAAAATACGAGAGAAGAGGAAACAATGTATACTCAAGCTTCGACACTCCTGCATGCAACATTGCAACTGAAACGCGATACACAAGCCGGGGTCGAGGTGTGAAGGGGAACTTAAGAACGCAAACCCGGCACCCCTTCGCACCTGGGAGAGCTTTTAGAAGGAGAGGGGAAAGAAAGACAAAAGGGGAATAAGAAGGGGGAAGGGAGGGAAGGGAAGAGGTGAGAGGAGGGAGAGGAGGTGAAGAAAGGTAGGGAGGGAGGAGGGATTAGGAGGAGAGGGTGAGAAGGATGAAAAAGTAGAGGGAAGAGTAGAAAAAGGAGAGGAAGCGAAAAAAAAATGCGAGTGTTAATATAAATTCACGCGAGAAGGAAGAGAAAGGGAAGAGGGAGAACTAGTAGTCAAGAGTGAACAAAGGGAGAGAGGAAAACAAAAGGGAGAAAGGGAGCTAAAGGGAGAGTGGGAGATGCAGAGAACGAGGGAGCTAAAGGGAGAGGGAGAACAAGAGAGAGTAGTGACCACCTCGCTACAAGCTTCAACGCATGATCGAATCTGGTCCGCGGTGTCTGGCGATTGGCACTCGCCGAATAGCCTGGATCTGATTCTATCATTCGCTGAGGCTCGTCGCGAGGTGGCACGGCTTGACACCGACTCAAGATCCCCCTGTATTTGTCTCCTAAATAAGAGAGAGAGAGTGATATATATATATATATATATATATATATATATATATATATATATATATATAAAATATATACATATATATATATATAGTATATATATATAATAATATATAGAGAGATAATAGATATAGTAGATATAGAGAGAGAGAAGAGAGAGAGAGAGAGAGAGAGAGAGAGAGAGAAGAGAGAGAGAGAGAGAGAGAGAGAGTGAGAGAGAGGAGAAGAGAGAGAGAGTGAGAGTGAGAGTGAGAGAGAGATGAGAGGAGAGTGAGAGTGAGAGTGAGAGAGAGAGAGAGAAGAGAGAGTGAGAGAGTGAGAGAGAGAGAGTGAGAGAGAGAGACGTGAGAGAGAGAGTGAGAAGGAGAGAGAGAGAGAGAGAGAGAGAAGAGAGAGAGAGAGAGAGAGAGAGAGAGAGAGAGAGAGAGAGAGAGAGAGAGAGAGAGAGAAGAGAGAGAGAGAGAGAGAGAGAGAGAGAGAGAGAGAGAGAGAGAGAGAGAGAGAGGAAGAGAGAGAGAGAGAGAGAGAGAGAGAGAGAGAGAGAGAGAGAGAGAGAGAGAGAGAGAGAGAGAGAGAGAGAGAGAGAGAGAGAGAGAGAGAGAAAGGAGAGAAGAGAGAGAGAGAGAGAGAGAGAGAGAGAGAGAGAGAGAGAGAGAGAGAGAGAGAGAGAGAGAGAGAGAGAGAGAGAGAGAGAGAGAGAGAGAGAGAGAGAGAGAGAGAGAGAGAGAGAGAGAGAGAGAGAGAGAGAGAGAGAGAGAGAGAGAGGAGAGAAAGAGAGAGAGAGAGAGAGAGAGAGAGAAAAGAGAAGGAGAGAGAGAGAGAGAGAGAAGAGAGAGAGAGAGAGAGAGAGAGAGAGAATAAAAGAATAAAAAGGAAAAAAGGAAAGAGAAGAAAAAGAAAAAGAAAAGCAAAGCGGAGAAAGAGGAAGAGAGTCGGCAAACAAACAATAAAACGCCCCGGCCGATGTTTGAAAAATAGTTCCCAGAGCTATCGCTCCCTGATGTTTACACGAGGCGTTATTGCTCCGCTTGCTAACCAGGCTTGTTATTGGAGTTTGTTGTACAAGCACACCGAAATATGCTGCTTGTGTGCTTCTCATCTCTCCCTCGCTTCCAGTTTTCTCCCTCGCTTTGAACTGAGATCGCGTCTGTGGTGTTGGCTTGTGGGAGGTTTATTTAGCGCGGCCATTTTTCGCGTGCGGATGTGCAACTGTGTTTATTGGCAGCCATGTCGATAATGTGGGTGCTGAAGACAGAGGAAACCCTACGACTCCAAGGGGAAACGATCGCGCACTTGCAAAGCCAGCTGTCCCAGGCCCTTCGAGACCTGGCGGCGGTGGTGGACGACCTGCGCGAACTGCGACGGAAGTACAGCGCCGAGAGAGAGAGTCGCGCCGACGACGGACGCGCGACGGGGAAAGCCACGGCGGGGAAAACGATGATCGATTTGGAAGGGAGTGAGATTGGAATGCAGAGTCATGTGCGTAAATTATTCCTAAGTCGTTATAACTCTTCCTTCGGTGAATAACAATCAGTGGCGTTTGTCTTGAATTTCAAGCAGCTTGCAAGAACGACGGGTGGTTTTCTTTCTTGTGCCCGACAAGTGATACTAAGATAACGATACTAGTGTATGGAGTTCTGGATCGAAAATAAGTTTTAAAGACATTTTCTTTAAGATATTTGCTCTCCAAGTGATTTAAAAAACGACTTTGCATTTTGCACACGTATAGGTTTAGGCAGGAAGTCTAGTTCTCATTTTCTACGTGCTTTAACGAAAACTAGTATCAGTACATACCAGAGGCATATATAAATACACTACCTTTTACAGTAAGCTTAGTCGCCGCATGCCTCTTGACCCCTCCCCCTCTTCCGCATTCTTATAATCCCAGATCAGGAAACAGTTGTGTGTTGGGGCAGTTTTAAGTCATCTAAGCTGAATATTAAGAGGATATTCATATGAAGTCAGATGATAATGTTTTGTTTCATGCAATGATTCAAGACATTTAGAAAAAATCCTACGACGTGAGATGATAAACATTAACAGAGGCACTATTTGTTAACAGTAATATCCAATCTCCATCAAACTTCGCTGCTGCTGCTCAATTCTCATCTTTATTTGTTGTTTACGAAGCTCGAACCTCATTATCTACCTATACCAAAACCGACAAAAAATAGTTCGCATGTATCTCACGGTACGTTTTCGCAGCTGTGGGGTCATGGCGGAGAATTAATTTTTCTCTCTTCGACAGGACGACATCGCCTCCGTCAACGACACAACTTCGCTGCAGGACCAATCCAGGGACGACGCAGACGACAGGGAGGATGTGGACGACGTGTACATGGAGAGCGTGGAGGCCGTAGCCTTTAGCAATGTCATAGGTGGGTTCCTTTGCAACGTAGACATAGAAAATGGGAATATTTTAGAGAAAAAATATGGGTTTATATGATATCCATTGCATTTAAAAGACATACTTACGGATAAATCATTTTCGTATTACAAATGTGGACGAAACTAAACAATATGGAATGTACAGTGCGGTATGAATATAAAAAAAAACAAAAAAACATTCAGGTATGAGTTGATTTTAACATAAACAGTATGAGTAAAATAGGTAAGAACATATTCAAGTTCGACTCATTACATTCTGGCTCCACGAACAGCTACGTGCGACAAGCATGGCGTCCTCAGCAAGAAGACGAAGGGCCTCCTCAGGAACCTCAAGACCTACCACTGCGTCGCCTCCTCTGGCATGCTCTACCTCTTCCTCAAGGAGACCGATGACAGACAGCGGAAGGTGAGGTCGCGGAAGAGGAAATTCAGTTTGATGTATTTTAATAATGATCTTTATTCGCATATGCTTTGCTGTTCTTGAGATTTGGTAATGTGAAAATATGAGATGTGAACTGTACATATATTCTTTGTACTGAACATCCCTTCTTTCCAGAGGTGGATGATGCCTCTGAGTAGAACAAAATAATTAAAATCCTTGACTAAAGTGATGGACTTTATATATGAACAGTGAAATAGTTTAATTAAAGATCACTATCTAATAAAGGTAGATCTACAATGTGAATTTCGGTGCTAATATTTTTTTCTCCTGCAGACCATTGACCTCAGCGGCTACACGGCGCGGATGGCCACGGGGGAAGACATCCGAGACCAGCGGAAGAAAGACTCGGCCTTCGAGATCGTTGGTCCGGGGAAGAAGACCCACACGGTATGTATAATGCAGAAGGCGAGAAGAAGAAATATAGGAATATGATATGTATATACTGTATATATATATGCATATTAAGAAAGACAGGTAGATGTGTATGTGTGGTCTTACCCTCTGAGTTAAACCCTCAGTGCCACGCCCCACCCTCAACGCCTCCCTCCTCCCGCAGTTCATCGCCCGGACCCCCCGAGACAAAGTGGAGTGGCTGGCCGCCCTCGACCGAACCATCAAGTCGGGACGCAAGAGCCAGTCGACCTTTGCCTTGGACACCTTGATCTCGTCGGACGAAACGCACCGCTTGTCGCAGCCGCAGATACTAGCGAACAGCCCCCTCATTCTGCCGCCGAAGCCCGGACCGCAGCCCCAGCAGGAGGGGAAGAAGGACGACGCCAAACCAGCCGAGGACGACTACTACTACCATGACGTCTCTGCGGATGTGAAGGATGAGGTAGGAAGGAGGATAGAAGGGGGAAGTGGAGGTGGGGGAAGGTGATGAGGGGAAGAAGGAGAAGGAGGGGATGGGTAAAGGAGGAGAAGGAGTGGGGAAGAAAGGAAGAGGGGGAAGGAAAACAAAAAGGAGAAGGAGAGAGAAAGGGAGAAGAGAGAAAAAGGAGGAAAGGAGGATAGGAGAGTGAGAAGGAGAGAGAGAGGTAGAGGTGAGGGGAGAAGAAAGAGGGAACAGGGGGAGAAGGTGAAAAAAGAGATGTAAGGAGGAGAAAAGTAGAAGGAGGAGAGGAGAAAGAAGGGAATGAGAGAGAAGAAGGAAGAGAAGGAGGAGGAGAAGGAGTAGAATATTAGAGAGAGAGAGAGAGAGAGAGAGAGAGAGAGAGAGAGAGAGATGAGTGAGTGAGTGAGTGAGTGAGTGAGTGAGTGAGTGAGTGTGTGTGTGTGTGTGTGAGAGAGAGAGAGAGAGAGAGAGAGAGAGAGAGAGAGAGAGAGAGAGAGAGAGAGAGAGAGAGAGAGAGAGAGAGAGAGAGAGAGAGAGAGACCTTATTCCAAACACCCTGGTAGATTCCCATCCATTATATTACTAGGTATACGAAGAGGTAGGGCCTGAGGGCTTGGCAGGACGGGTCTTGGCAGCGGGACAGAGCCAGACCCTCCCGGCGCGCACCCAGCCTCCGCCGTCCTGGGTGATGGACCCACCTGACTACGACCCAGTGAGTAGGAGATATCTTTCTCTTGTTGGGATACATTCTTTCTCTTTTCTTTGGTTTGACTATAAGAAATGCTAATGGATATATTACAGCTTGGTGACATGCCGAACTATCTCTAAAGAAAACTGTTTGTTTGTGTTTCGAGTCAGCAACTCCAGATTTCAAGTAAATCTCTTATTCCAATAAATGAGACAGTTTTCAGCATCTGACTTCTCACCCGTATTTCCCAGGTCAGTCCCGACGATTCCCCGCCGCCCTTGCCCGAAGGTCCTCCGCCCCTCTTAGGCAGACGACCCCCTGGCAGACCCCCTCTTCCCGCCGTCCTGCAGGACCGCGTCAACAAGCAGGCGTCCAGGCCCCTGCCCGACGCCCCTCCGGAGACCTCCGAGGGCGCCGAGGATCCCATCGGTATTTACTGTGAGATCGAGGACGACATGCTGGAGGCCGGGAGGGAGAGCTACGAGCAGAGGCTGGCCGAAGAGAACGAGAAGAACTGGAACCTGACGAGCAACGCCAACAAGCCCCGGGCCGTGTCCTCCGAGGGCGTGCCGAGCGACCTGCAGTCTCTGAGCAGCAGGATGTCCTCGAACTCCCTCGTTGGCTCTCTGAGTGACGAAATTTTCATGAACATATCCGAAAATAGTTCCGCGCACGCCCTTCCGCATAAGTTTTCCCTCAGATCGTCCACTCCGAAGACCCCACCGAAGCTGCCGCCGAAGGGTATTCCCTACCCACAGGCGGCAGATGACGACTCGGAGTACAAGGTGCCCACGTCGGCCATTGCGGACACGGAATATCAGATTCCAAGCTCGAACCCGGTGCCCACTGATGCCGATGACGCAAGAGAAAGAAATTCCGTGGGCGAGATTTCGGCTCCCTTGCCCATGCAGACATACCAAGTACCTCCGTCGCAGGCGATCGTGCCCATCAAACCCAAATGCGACAGAAAGAACTCGATCGTGGAGGAAGAGACGAAGCAGCTGACTTCTTTCTTCAGCGGCAAGGAGGACACGAATCCCAAGAACAACCTCAAGGCTCTGACGAGGCGGTTTGAGATGAAGAGCAACTCGCTGCCCGGAGAGGACGTGAAGGAAGAGAAGAGGACCCCCAACCAGGGCACTTCGGTGAAGGACATGATCGCGCGAATCAACCAGAACAAGAGTCAGGTAGAGAAGGACATCAAGTCAAAGACCAAAGAGGAGCCCGTGCGGCCGCTGAGTTCGTCGAAGAGTGCGAGCGCCGTGTTCCAGGTGACGCCCCCGCCCCAGGAGGCCGCACCCCCGGCGGCGGAAGCGGAGTCGAGGTTCGCCAAGCCGGCGCTGCCGCCGCGGCCGCACAACCTCGCCAACGGGGCAACGATAGTCGTAAAGCCAAGAGCAAATGAAGACAACAGGAACTGTGACTCGGCGTCCAGGAGCACCTCGGACGACGATTACTACGAGACGCCAGACGACAGCAGCTTGGAGAGCTCCTCGCAGAGAAATTCCCAAGACATGGCACGGGTTTCCGGCGGCTCCAGTGACACATCCAGTGGAGGTATGGTACTAAACATGTAACTATATACAGACACTATCTATATATCAATCTACCTATCATATATATATATATATATATATAGTATATATATATATATATATATATATATATATATATATATATATATATATATATATATATATATGCTGTGTGTGTGGTGGGGGGGGGCCATGTCAACTCTTCCAAGCTCCTCCATGCTTTGGAGGATAGCATTGCTTTGCTATCTGGGCCTACTGCCATACCACCCTTCATCCTCTAAATGGCTATCCTCACTTCCTCCCTGCTGATCCCTCGCACTAACAGATCTACCATCTCTTCCTTTTCTAACTGTTTCTCCCTCACGTTTTCTATATTCATCAGCTCTTCATATTACTCCTTCCACCTTCCTAATACATTCTCCTCACTTGTTGGTATATTTCCTCCTACATCCTTTATCATTCTAACATGCTGTACATCCCGCCCAGCACTGTTTCTCTGCCTGGCCATTCGGTAAAGGTCTTTTTCCCCTTCCCTACTATATAACCTCTCATGCAGATCATCATAAGCCTTTTTCTTTGCATTAGCCACCTCCTCCTTTGCCAAACTCCGCATCTCCATATACTCCTGCTTGCTCTCTTCGTCCCTTTATCTATCCAAATTCTTTTTTGCCTCTCTCTTCCTTTGTATACTGTCCTGTACTTCCTCGTCCCACCACCAAGTCTTCTTGTCCTCTTTCCTATGTCCTGATGCCACCCCGAGTACCTTTTTGCTTTCTCCCTCACCATTTCTGAGATAACTGCCCGTCGGTCCTCTCTTAACCCAAAGACTGGCTCACCTCCTCTCTATTTTTTTCTTGTTGTCCTCCTCCTCACTTAATCCTTGGTTCAGCCTCCTCTTTCTTATTCGCCTTCACTTAAGATTACCAGTCAGCACCCTGTGATGACATGTAACACTCTCCCTTGGCACTACCTTACAATTGCTGAATTCTTTCAAGCTGCGTCTCCTGCACAAGATGTAGTCTATGTGTGAACTTCTTCCTCCACTCTTATAAGAGATCCTGTGCTCCTCCTATTTAAAGTAGGTGTTCACTTAAGCCATCTCCGTCCGTTTTTCAAAATCCACAAGTCCCTCCGCGTTCCTCTCCTACACCGTACCCACCTGCCACCCCCTCATCACCACTATTTCCTTCTTCAACATGCCCATTTAGATCCGCTCCAATAACTACTCTTTCCTCTCTGGCTATGATCTGAACCAGTTCCTCTACTTCCTCCCAGAAATCTTCCTTGTCCTCCAACTCACACCTCATTTGTGGCAAGCACTAATAACATTCAACAGAATACCCTCAGTCTCCATCTTCAAACTAATAACTCTGTCAGATACCTTCTTTTCCTCCAATACACTATATTAATACTTTTCTTTTACTACAACCCCCACACCATTTCTCACACGCACAAAGTTAAATCATCATCTGATTTTCTGACGACCTACCACCGTCTAACGTTGTGACCCCGCCTTGCAGAATACTACGTCGCGAAGTTTGCCTTCGTCGCCACCATCGACCAGGCCCTGAGCTTCAACCGCGGAGACACCATCTTGGTCCACGACGTGACGAGCAGCACTGGTTGGTGGAGAGCGACACTCAAGGGACGCACCGGCCTCGTGCCCAGGGAGTACCTCAAGAAAAAGGAACAGTGATTCAAATTCTAATTCTGGAAGACAGTGTCTCTCTCGTATATTTACATTAGGTTGGTGTTAAGATATAATTGTTAGAGAGATAACTGGCCGTTTTGTTATGTCACTGTCACAGCTGGTCTGGTATATTCATACAGTACAAAACAGAAAATGATGGCAAGGTGTTTGTATGCAATTCATAAAGAAACATGAAAGTGTATGTTGTTAGTTACACACCATGTGAAAAGTGTGAAAGGATTTCTGCATAGAGTATAATTTGCTCTCTCAGTACGCTAAGTCCCATGGTGCCTTACAGATACTGTATCTGAAAGCTGGAAAAGTTATGGTAATAAGGTGCAGTGCAGAGAATGTCATGTACATAGATGTGGTGAGACTGTGCATGTGTTTTTAATTATTATGCATACATCTATTATCTCATGCTGTGCTTTTGTACAATGAATAATATTTATTCAGGCATTCCAAAGAACTGAATACTCGTAGATTACAGCTTGTTGGGAAAAATGATTAATGAAACATAAATTTCTTTTAACTGGTTACATTACGAAAGCAAATTACAATTGGTGTGATACATTCTAAAGAAGAAAACATATAAACAGGCAAACAGACACACACACATACACACAAAACCTGCTAATGGAAATGTTGGTATAGCAATATAGCAGTGACATTTTTCAAAGCAGTGAGGATGACAAACAGACGATTAGTGTAAATACCTGCAGACCTTCAACACACAAAGAAGCTGAAAATGTCCGATTTTCTTCCTAGTCAGAGGATATTTTCCTGTTCTCTCTTTCCTCGTCTCACAGTATTCAATGCATGCTCGTCACAATAAGTAAAATATCCACTATGCATCTCTTTGTATGTGTATCCCTATTGTATTATATACCAAAGAATCTTCAGTGTGCACATACTAGATTCCTGAAATGCTGAATCTTGTTAGAAAAACCTTGTGAGACTATCAAGAAAAAAATAATATGGACTTGAATACTGTACCAATTTTCTTTTTTCATGAGTGATGTCGATACATAATGTATATGGTGCTTGTAGTTGTCAAGGTTACATGCTAGGTATGTTTCCGAGATGAAACACAATTATTAGGATAATTAATGTATGGTAATATCGATGAATTCTGACATACACAACTTTTATCAACAGTTTATGTGTTAGATTTTGTAATTCTGTCTAGATAAGCTTTTATATTTTATTAAGTAGACCGATATTATCTGTAAATCCCTTTCAATAGTGAATTTGTTATTTTTATGCATTTTTGTCACATTGCTATGAGTCTCAACTAGTCTGCAATGCCAAATATATTAATGTACCATATGATGCAATAGGCTGATTGAATTATTGGTATTATCTGTAGTTAAATCATGCCAAAAACTCATTATGTACTGGACACACTGCAATAAAAGAATCTATGACAAAGTGTTTGAATTCTAATATTTTACCCTTAGACTGAGACAAATGTGTGTTTAATAAGGACAGCTTTTATGCCAATTAAATAAAAAACAGTGACAATGAATTCTATTCTGTAATCCTTAAAAATAAGGCAGATGCGTCTATGATTAGGGTAAATATGATGTCAGTGAAAAGTAGTGGCAATTCAGGTACTGTCTTGGTACTATCTGATTATCATAAACAGATGTGATCTAAATTTTTAACAATGAAAATATTCATATGAACGACTCTCGTACCGCGTTAGGGACTGTAACCATTCTGACATCATCGACTACATCTTTTTGTGGTGATTTTGTATCTGCATTGTTCCCAGTGAGATATTTTGAGGAATCAGTTGGAGGTATCCTATATTACCCATATGCCACAATATATTAAGAAAGGTAAATGCTGGAAAGGATTGTTTTTGTTGATTAAAGGTAGGATAGAAGAATAATTCCACAGAAAATATATGACTCCATTTCCCCCCGGAAATAAGATTTTTTAAAAAATGAAAGACAAAATTTGCATCGCCTTCAGTTACATTACCATACATTTTTCTGATGCGTGAATATTATGAGGTACACAGTAGAAATGACACAAGTAAACATTAATACGCACTGGTGCTCTACAACCTTGAATATTCCCCGACGTAGACAATAACAGTAATGATAATGATAATAATGATGATGATGATAATAATAATACCATAATAACAATAATAATAATAATAGTAATAATAACTAAAAAGTTTTTGAGGCATCTGGTAGGAGTGATCGAACATAATAAAGATACCCAGAAGGAAAGTTAAAGGTGTTACCCCTAAAAATCCTCGATATCATTTTCTCTGGTTGTCTCAATGTCTCAAAGAGAACATTTTTGATGGGAGACGTATTCCTCGCACAAATACAAAATTCATCAACTGAACCGACATGGGTAACAAACAAAATTTAGTATACTTTTTTTTTTTTTTTTTTTTTTTAAGAAATATGCATTTTCCAGTTAGCACTTGGTGAAAACAAATTCTCGTTCGTTCAAAAACTCTGTGCGTGCTTACGTTCACCAAAAAAGAAGGATTCGCTGTGTTTATTCAATAGGATGGGAAAGGAAGGTCTAACCTTTCACATATTCCCAGAAGAAACCCGAAAAATAGAAGCGAAGGGTTCAGGCCACGAAACACGTAAACGCTTATGAGAGCGCTTGGCCGCCAAGTGGAAAATATGTTTACACTACTCTTTTATCTTCAATGAAATGTTCTGAGGAGATGTAATCATATTTTCCATTAGGCGCCCAAGGTATCAGCGTTTACGCGTTTCGTGGCCTGAACTCATCACTTCCATTTTTCGGGTTTCTTTTCGCGATGTGGGAATGTATGAAAGGTTAGACCTTTCTTTCCCATCATATTGTGGTTCGGACCAAGGTCTATATAAGTACTTATATAGACCTTGGTTCGGACAACCAACGGAATCGGCAATTCAATGTTAGGCCACTTCAAAAAATCGTCGATCTAAATTTCGGCAGGTAGACGATATGGACACTTAGCTGCACAGCTTATA